TTTTTTCTGTATTTTCTTTCATACTGTCGGATTTATATCCATATATTTGCTTACATACATACATATATATATATATATATATATATATATATATATATATATATATATATTTATGGATAAAAAATGACAATAGGAAAACTAGTGATTGGTGATGCATTTTGTCCAATGTGAACTTTATCAAAGCAAAATACGAAAATGAAATTAATTGAACAAGGTAACTAATAAAAACAAAAACAGAATGTACCTAGCAACTGGAATGTAGAGAAACGCTATTTTCATATTTTTAACTGAAATATAATGTCAGTATTTGTCACGTGTGGAGAATATTGTCATTATATCTGTGTTGATGTATTCAACCATTTTCTTTTGATTTTATGAATCTGTTGTGTATATTTGTTTGTGAGAGCAGTAATTTTGTTAAGAAAGGTGAAATGCGGAAAAAAACGGGACATAGATTAATATTTGGGTAATTTTCTATGGTGGCACTTTCTAGAATTTTCCTTCTGAGTGAGTTATTTTCTTTTTTATGAGTGTAGCATTTTTTAAAATCAAAATTATGGTTGAATTTATTTCTATGTATGACTATTGCATTAGCTAAGTTGTTTTTGTGAGGTCTTTTTTTGTGCTCATAAATGTTTTTTTTTAAACTTCTACTTGTTTCTCCAATATATTGGGAGGAACAGTTTTGGAAATTTATTTTATAAATGCCTGCTTCAGAAATATTAGTGCTATTATTGTTTGAAGATCTTAGTCACAAACCATTATAGATATACTATTTCAAGATTATTTAGATGGGATATATATATATATATATATATATATATATATATATATATATATATATATATTTTAAAACCAAACAACATTCATTAAAAAGAACCAACAAGATCAGTTTATTTTTTTAAATTATTTTCCAATTTTCAGATAAGGGGTTGAGTTTTATGCTCAAAATTATGGATAAACTTTCTGAAGTTAATATTTTGTTTTTGTTCAAATAATTTTGACTTTAGCAATCATTATCAACATTATTTATTTAATAACTAGGTCAGTACATGTCCATTTAAAATTCTACATTTATTAGAAATTATATTCAGTTAAATACAGAAGATATAATAAAAATGACTTCGAACTTAAACTCTTTTACTGTTACCCAGGGGTTGTTACTGGATAGGCCGTCCTGAGTAAGACAATAAACTACATCTAACAGCAAGGCCTCTGATCAGGAGGTTTTGAGGAACATGGAACCACCTCTTAACTGCTGGTGTTCTCAGGCCCACCCTGACCCAGAGTGGTAGCACCTGTTTGGCTCCTAGCTATGGGCAAATAGTTAACCCCCAAACACCGGCCAAAATACTATGAAAGTATAAATATAAGATTTAAATACCAGCAATACATTTTTTAAGGAAAAAATATTACCAGCAATACATTTTTGTTAATAATTATTACCAGTAATACATTTTGGAAAAAAATATTACTAGCAATAAAAATCTTGTTGGCATTAAAAAACCCATTGAGGTGTTGATATGCTGTAAAACAAACCAAACCAAACTACTAGATAGGGAAATTAATCTTTGAGCACAGAAGCCCATTTTAATTTCATTAAAATTGTGTATCATATGTACATTTACATGTGCGGATATCTATTTCAATTCAATGGTAGACCATAAAAATATTCAAAACTGGAAAAAAAACAAAAGGCTTTAAAAAAAATCTATTTTATTTATCTATATAAATAAATGCAAATGTCAGTGTGTCACACTTTTTCAATTTTCCTCCTAGAGGCCCAACTCTTAGTAGCCCAACATATACCATTTTGGAATCAGGCCAACTCTGAGCAAATTAAAAATATTCCAGGCCGGATCCTAACCCACAATTCTGAAATTTTGGATTCCCAAGATTTTGTTACTGCAATTGTTTTTTGTTTTTTTGCGATAAATTTTTTTGTACTATATCAGTTTTTATAACTTAGAAACAAAGTTGGGAATAATTGAAATTAATTGCGAAATCCAGTAAAAGTCACCCATAAAATAAAAATAGTTGTTCATACAGAAAGTAAAGACCTACAAATTGTCTTTAAATTAAATGGCAGCAGCAGAACTCTCATTAAACTTTTAATCTGGTATATATATATATTATAAATGTAAACGATATGCTTAAATATTAATGCAATACTTAAATGCAGCGATCAATTTTGAGTTCTTCTGTAATCCATTGTTGCCTATCGCATCTACTCCTCCCAACCTATTTGTAATGAAGGCCTAATCAAGAGCCCTCCACAGGATATAGTTTAAATGCCAACCGCTAGGGTGGCTTTTGTGCTCGTCTATATAATAAATGCAAATGTTAGTGTATCCCTGTGTCACACTTTTTTAAACTTTACTCCTAGAAACCATAGCCCAACATATACCATTTTGGAATCAGGCCAAATCCATGAGCAAATTAAAAACATTTTGGGCTGGATCTGGAACTGCAATCCTGAAATTTTGGATTCCCAAGTTTTCATTACTGCAATTGTTATTGGTGATATTTTTACATGATTTTTGCGACAAAGTGTTTTGTACAATAACAATTTTTAAAACTTGGAAATAAGTTTGGGAATAACTGAAATTAATTGCAAAATCCAGCAAAAGTCACAAATGAAATAAAAATAATTGTTTTCAGAGAAAATAAGGACCTACGTACATCAAATTGTCTTTAAATCAAGTGGCAGCAGAAGAATTATCGTTGTAAGGTAAGCTTAAATATTAATGCAATACTTAAATGCAGCAATCAATTTTGAGTTCTTCTTCAGTTTATTGTTGCCTATCGCATACAGCAGCAGTATGCCTCACAAAAAGAAATCTCTGCCAACGGAGGACCAGATTGCAATCAAAAGAGCCAAAGATGCAGTGAGGAAAAGAAAGTCCTGTGCAAAGGAGGACCCAGATCAAATGGCAGCCAGAAGAGCATCCAATGCTGAGAATATGCTAAGACTTAGGGACTATCAAACTCCTGAACAAGCTGAAGGCCTAATAAAGAGCCCTCTGCAGGGGCTAGTTTAAATGCCATTCAATAGGGCTAGTATAAATATATATTAAGCTAGTATATATATTCTCACAACACTTCTTTACAGATCAGAATCATGGATGCTATACAGGACACACATCAGTCAACTTGATGCTTTTCATAAACGCTGTCTTTGTTCAATATGCAGTTATACACGACAGGACAAAATCTGTAACCCTGATCTTTTCATCAAATATAGCGTCGGTGGTATTGAATCCTTTCTGATGCAATCACAGTTCAGATGTCAGAGGTCATGTCATCAGAGTGATGATCGGATGCCGAAAATCCTCATGTATAGCCAACCTTTTTCATGGTAAGTGTAATGTAGGCCGTCCTTAGTTACGCTTCAAGGACAGACTAAAATACAATTTAAATGCTGCAAACATCCCTATAGAGGAGTCCAAACTCGCTGTTGAAAACCAAGCAAACTGGAGAAATACCTGCCACTGAGGTAGAACTAACTTTGAAAAGAATCGTCTCAACCATCTGAGAGAATTAAGAACCAACATTAAATCTCGTGCCAATACATCAAGCCCATATGATGGTCAACCCTTCAATATGCCCTTCATGTGGATTTGTTTGCAAATCCCGTGTAGGATTGTTGTCTTATACGAAACATAAACATAAAAACTGAACTGAAAAACACTCATATGTTGAAAATGACAGGAGAGTCCATCATATATATATATATATATATATATATATATATATATATATATATATGTGTGTGTGTGTGCCTTAGATCAACTCAGCTACATAGGACCTTTTAAGATAGTTACTGAATAATTTCCAAATGGCCTAATAAAATTTAATAATTAGTTTTTGGGGTTTAAAAAAGTTAACATTTATTGTTTTTCTTGTTTTCAACTTTTTTCTTATTACTCAGCCCAGGGTATGGGGTTGTTCTGAAGCTTACTATGTTGTTTGGATAAAAATAAGTCACCAATTTGTAGTGGTAATCAATACTTTTGATTTTGATGTTTTGACATTTTATAGTAAATATTCATGGGCTCCTGGAACATTTGACTCGCATACAATATTGGCGGACTCATGAGAGGCCGGGTAAAATAAGTAACACAAAACAATGAATTTAAAACAAACATCAATTGTATGCGTGTATTAATAAAAGTATGTGTACACCATTGAAATGAAAGGAAAAGACATTGAAAAGTCGATATAAGAATATGCTTGTTGTGTGTGTGTGTGAGAGAGAGAAACAAGTGTCTGTGATACATACGTGTTTATGTGCATTTCTGAGAGAGGTCAAAAGATCAAGGAAGTGAACACACCCTGTCTGCACGTTCAACTACACCTGGAAAGAGAGGAAGATGAAGGAACTGTTTGCCTTTACCACAACTGTTTTCGGCAAAACCAAATGGGCTAACCCACAGTTAAAAAATTTATTATTCCAATGTCTTTTTTTACAACCTGTCAAACCTTTGCAGGTTATTTAAAGTCAGAATTTTTTTTTTTTTTTTAGATTATAAAAATGGTTTAAGTCTTACTTATTGTTGAGATGTTGAGTGTTTCCCACGTGCGTGTATTGAAATAAGGACAAACACATATGCAGGGAAAAATACTGGTATATCTGAAGAGGTATTTACAACAGAGAGATTAGTAGTCAAACGAACACAGGTTAGTCAGTAACAATCAGAAAAAGTATAAAGTCCAACTGTATCTTCCGGTAGAGAGACGGAAGTGTGATGGTCACCTGATCTCCCAGAACTCTATAGAACTGTCCTATTAGTAGTAGAGAGATCAGTCTATTCTGATGAGAAGGTGGGTGGCCCCAACACTTATTAACCCATAGCTGGGAGGGGAAGAGGTGGATTCATACCTTTTCCCAAGGGTATTTGCACATAAGTGAATATAACAAAGCCAACTGGAATTGGAACTCACCGATTTAACAATTCCGAGTCATTATACATTACATCGCTCTCCCATCCAATCTTACA